AGGAAAATAGTAAAGGCCCTTGTTAGCTTTTTTTTTTTTTCACCATGGTCGGCTTACCCAGGGTGATACAGTCAGACCAGGGATCCAACTTCATGTCAGGGGTGTTTCAACAAGTTTCTGAGAAGTTTGGGTATAAAATCCATTAAGTCAAGCGCCTATCACCCCCAGTCCCAAGGTGCCTTGGAGAGGTTCCACTCCACCTTGAAGAGCATGATGAGAACATATTGCCTGGACCACCAACACGATTGGGACGAAGGTATCCCATTCCTAATGTTCGCCGCATGAATCCATTACAGGAATCGTTGGGGTTCAGCCCATTTGAATTAATATTTGGGCATTCAGTCCGCGGTCCTTTAAAGGTACTGAGGGAAGGTTTGTTGCGGGAAGACCCAGTAACAGAAAATTTGCTGGAATATGTTTCACGTTTCCGAACCCGACTAGCAGAAGCATGTGAACTGGCCCGCGAGAACCTCCGTCGGTTCAGCATAAAATGAAAGATCGATCGACCGAGACACAGTCGAACGAAATTTCAGTGTCGGGGATAAAGTACTAGTGTTATTACCCTTGCCCGGACATCCTCTCAAAGCTCGATTCCATGGCCCGTATGAAGTGGTCAGGAAGGCCGGTGACCTCAACTACGTCGAAGAACCCTGATCGCAGGAAGTCGACACAGATGTGTCACATTAACATGCTTAAGCCTTACTATGAACGGGGAAAGACCGACCGTGTGTTAGTAATCAGTGGGCCTAACACTATGCCCGAGCCCACGGAGATCCGAGGAGAAGTTATGGAAAGGGGTGACCACCCCACCAAACTTTACAACTCCGAGGTACTAGCTGACCTAAGCGCTGGCTGTCGATTTAGCCCTTGAGGAGAGGAAGGATTTAGCCTCCCTTATCGAGGATTTCAGGGGCCTGTTCCCTGACGTACCCAACCAAACCACCGTTACTTATCATGATGTGGAAGTAGGAGATGCCACCCCATTAAACAGCATCCCTACCGAGTCAACCCACGGAAAGCCGAATCCCACGTGGAGAAATAGACTACATGCTAGAGAACGGCATTATCGACGTAGCCAAAGCAGTTGGTCCTCCCCCGCGTGCTAGTGGACAAACCTGACGGCTCAGTTCGGTTTTGCACCGACTACCGAAAGGTGAACTTCGTCACTAAGACGGACTCATACCCCATTCCCAGGATGAATGACTGTATTGATAAAGTAGGCAAGGCTACTTATATTACGGCTTCGATTTGTTGAAGGGTTATTGGTGTGCCCCAACCGAGCGCCGCTAAGGAGATATCTGCTTTCGCGACTCCGATGGCCTGTATCAATACCGCGATGCCTTTTGGGATGAAAAATTCCCAGGCCACCTTCCAGCGAATGATGAACCATTGCCTGCGAGATCTGGCTGGTGTAGAGACGTACATCGATGACATAGTCGTGTACAATAACACCTGGGCCGAACACATGATATCTCTCACGAAAAGTCTTCGATCGGTTAAAGCATGCCAATCTCACCATTAACCTTGCGAAAAGTGATTTCTGCCAGGCAGAAGTGACGATCTCGGACACGTTGTCGGCCATGGGCGGATAACTCCGATCGAGGCAAAAATACAAAGTATAGTTAAGTACCCAGCCCCGACCAATGTAAAGGCCTGAGGAGATTTCTCGAA